GACAGCTTCCGACAGCCTCACTTCTTCTCCAGGTCTGCCTCTTATGCTGCTGTCAAGATTGCTCAGGTGGGCCTCCTACACCAGCACCATGCTGGTTCAGTTCAGCTTGGGGTTATAAGTTGAGGACCAGTTGTCAGTCCACCACTGTCACCTACTCAACTTGTAAATTACTGTGGTATTCCATTTCCATCTTGAGAATTTTGAACATAAATGAGTGCTTTGTACTCATCCTTAAGACCTAAATATGTTAAACTATGTGTTAAAGCCAGTTCCTCAGAGAGAAAATGTAGACAGCACTATTTTTTAACCATTGTTTGTTGTCCAAACCTTTCATTCTATCATCTAAAGCTGCTTTCACTCTTCAGGGCTTTCCTATCAGTCAGCTCTTCCGCACAAAACACTAACCTAATTCCCACTTTTGATTGTCAAAAATTTGAATGTGTTGATAACAATAAAAATTTCCCATCAGTTTCTCAGTCCAAAGTAAGTACTGTTTATAACTCAGCAGCAGGTTAAAACGGAGAAGGCTAAAGTATTGCCAACTCCTTAACTTTCTATTTACAGAGGGTCACTTCTGCTCTACTGACAAAGGCCCTCATTTCTCAAAAACATTCAACGAACACAGACTTTGTCACACGGCAACCAATTTTAAGCCATTACCCTTGATTATGATGAACTAATGCTTATATTTGGAATTGAGCATGAGATCATCCTTCTCTCCATAGGTTTTATTAAAACTTTTTATTAAATAAAAAACTATAAATTTTCCTCAAAATATGCTTCCCAAAAGATGTGAATTACGTGCATTTTATTCGGCTTATACATGAAAAAGAAAAGATTGTATTATCTGGAAGTGATAAGCAAGGAATCTTCTTGTAAAATATGCTTTCATGCCAGGAGTGGTGGCTCAGGTCTGTAAGCCCAGCACTCAGGAGGCTGAGGCAGGAAGATCATCATGAGTACATCAGCTTAGGATACATACTGAGTTTAAATCCAGCTTCAACTACATAGTGAGACCCTGTATCAAAAAAAAAAAAAAGAAAAAGAAAAAATGTACTTTCATGAGCTGGGCACAGGTGTTTCTCCCCTCCAACATTGGAATGCACATTTTTGGTGCAGATTACTGATTCTGGGTTAGCCAACTTCATTTTTGTACCTTTGCACATAGCCGGTAGGATTTTCACCTGGAAAGCTTTCTTTTAAAACTGATTAAAGGTTCATTCTCTTTTAAACTTTATTATTAAAATTTATTCATGGAAAAGAAATTAACTATATCTAAAGACTATTTTTCAGTGAAAATCACGTGAAAAAATATGTTCTCCTTTTTGAAAGAAGCTCTGCTGAGCTTCTGTTCTCTGCCTGGTATGAGGCAGGGGGGCAATAACAGTCCTCCAAAGAGAGTCCAGTAATTACCCTGCTGCCTCTGACTCCTATTCACAAGCTTGCTTTGTGCTTGTTTGTTTTTGTTTAATTTTCTTTTCACTTACGTTGGTACATACATCTTAAAATGTTTTTCATACATGTCACAAAGAACTAGACATCTAGGATAGAAAGACAAATGCTTGGGCTACATCTGTGATATTCTGATGTCTTGGACACTACCTGTGGTGCTCTGGATACTGGTTTACTAGTATGTGAAATAAGCAAGACAGACAGCTAAAGTGATGCTTAAAAGAATACAATTTTAAAACAGAACAGTGAATATTTAAAAGCATAATGTAATACAATGAATAGTTAATAAGCCACAGAATCTAACAAAATGCACACCTGATTCTCTATTATCTAATAAGTGACTATGCATGAGCTTGGGACCTTTCTGAGCCTCATTTTCCTGATACATAAAATGTGTCCACCTTTCTGAATTGTAATGAGGAGGCAGGAAATAACACCGTTTCCTTGGCCGAGCACCAGCCGCCCAACGGTGAGCTCCACATAGGCAAGTGGAGCTTAATAAACTTTATCTTTGCTATGGTGGAAGTTTCAATTGCAGCAAGTGCTATACAAATGTTATAGATCAGTGTAGACAATAATAACTGAAATGTGAACTATTTCTAGGCTAAAATTTTTCTTAAATTTGTGCATGTTCATAAGAATGTGTACACATGCACAAGTGTGTGTGTCCGTACGTGTGTGTCTGACATCAGGACTTGATCATCTTTACTTTTACTCTGGAAAAGACAAAACAAAGCAAAACAAAATAACTAAAGGAAGTGGATTCCAAGGAAGTATGCAATTTTGTAGCATTAGACAGATATGATTTGCAAAAAATAAAAACCAAAAAAACCCACAATGATTAGCTGAGTAACATGAAGTGGCATGTTACCGAGATGATTCCAACCTATTTTCCACATGACTCTCAGATGAGCGCTGATGGCCTTTGGGTTTGAGAGGAAGGCAATTTGGTTCTGAGGGAGTCTTGTGAAAATGACTCACCCTGTCTCTCCCAGGGTGCCTGATGTATGGGTCATGCTGGCCTGAGGAGATCTGCACAGCTACCGACCATGCACAAAGGGGAATCAAGATCTTGTGCTGGTGTTAGGAAGTTACAGTCTCTGAGGTCAAGGGAAGCTTAGACTCAGCTCCACGAGGTGATTGTTCAGCCTCTCTCTTGACGTCAGCACAAAGCTTGAGTCAAAGTTTTCTAAGTGCTGAAGAAAGGTCAAGAATAAAAATTGAAGTTTCCTTCATCTAAATCAGAGATGAATAGCTGACCTCATTCCATTCTCATTTACATCTAGCTATTAAGAAATATATAAAAGTGATGGACAAGTAAGTTTACTTTGAGAAGCTTGGCTTTTACACAGAAAGTATTTTAAAATATTAAGATTAACATTAAAGATTTATTTGATCTTCTAAAATTTTACATATTCCAATAAATAATTCAGCAGTTCAAATGCCGTCAATGCAATTTGTCTCGATAGAAAGTAACATTTCAAAGCTTGACTTTACTAAAGAGCTTTAAATGTGGTTAAAAGTGAGTACCAGGGTCCTTCTTCCAGGGATCTAACTGTGTATTGTGACTGGGTTTGTGGTTTATTTGTCCAAAATAAGAAAAGCAAAGTGGAACTGTCACCACGAATATTTGTACAATGAAGTAAAAGTCCAGTAATCAAACACACTGTCAATATTTCGTATGCCTTACAATAGTTTTATATTTGCTCTCTACCTATTTTTAATTTTAATTAATTAATGAAAATGAGTGGGTGTAGCCATCATACGGGTAACAAACATGGCAAACACAACCTTGAAAAATCGCTGGTGTATTTGATGGCCCCCTAGAAAATCACTTTCTCTCCAGAGTCTTCTCCTTTGCAAACATCTTCTCAATCTTTATCATCCTAGAAGATTTAACCAGACAGTGGAAGCTGTGGTAGAGGTTGAAGATATCATTTTATCCTGTAAATAGGGAAATTTTCATATCATTCCCCATTAAACTTTTGCCAGTTAAGTACCATAGGGAAGTATCTTCAATTAATTTGTAGTGGCCACAGGATTACCTATTATTTCTTCAGCATTTTTTAATCAATCAATTTCACACAGATTTCTTTTAACAATTCTTGGGTGAAATTATGGTTGCCTACATTTGTATTACATTTGAGAACACTGGATCTCAAATATCTCACATAACTAGATCAAACTGAGTAGTGAAATTATACTCTCATGCAAATGTCCGGATTCCCAGACCATTGGGTTATTATTTCCACACTTTCTAGGAATGTATGAAACACATGACATTCCCTCAATTTTCTTGATTTGCCCATTAGAGCATATTTGAAAGCATATTTAATTTCTAGACAAAATTGAACTGTTCTCTTTCTATTACGAATATATGTGTATCTGAATTATTTTCATTTCTATCATCATGACAAGTATGTACTTTCAGCTGACAAACATAATTACTGCATCCAAAAAGATATGAAAGAGTAAATCCTCTCTTAAGAGCAAAACAGGGGCTGGGGGTTTAGCTCAGCGGCAAAAGCGCCTGCCTGGCACGCGCAAGGTCGTGAGTTCGGTTCCCGGTACCGGAGAAAAAAACAAAAAAAAAAACAAAAAACAAAGAGCAAAACAATTTTTGCAAGGAAAATTAAGGTTTGGAATAGAATAGGTAGTAAGCTATGTGAACACATTATAAATATATAAATGGAATAAAAACTAAATATTACTATAGTGATATCAATTATTCAGATTTAAAGACTGGTCACTTGAGACTATCCAGTCCAAGGAACATAAAGAAAAAATATAGAAAAGTAAATATGGATTGCTGCAAACTCGATTTGTACAAATTCAAGGTGGTAATTTTACTTTCAAAGTTAACCACTAAGGAAATAAAATTTAAATTCAAAACATAGAAATACAGGAAGCTAACAAAAATGGCCCCCTAGAAAACACAGTAACAAAAG